AACTGTGCCTCCTGGTCCATTTTAAATGGTGTGCCTGACAGTGTGTGTTGTAACACTGTCTTCCATGAACTGATGTATAGCACATTTCAGAGTAAACAAGTTTACAGGAAGAATGACACACTCCTCTGGTCATGACATTGCAGCATTTTCTGGGATTGTCTGCATGTTGTGGTACACTGTGAATAAATAACAAAAAGGCACAATACCGTGACTGGAACGATACACAAAAAACCCGCACATAAAAGAGAGAAGCTTACGACGACGTTTCGGTCCGACTTGGATCATGTAGTTTTCTCTCCAGGAATGATACTGTAGTTGCAGTGATGTTAAAAGATTTTGTAGTTTTAACTCTTATATGAATGACTCGCTTTGTGTTCTAATGTCGCATACTCATCATGTACTATCTGCTGAATTTCAAAGTTTTCCATTTGATTTGTTCTCTTGCGCATTTATTTTTGTGTTATTTTGCACCCAGTGTGTGTAAAGCAAAGAGAAAAAAATGGTTTTGCATGTGTGTGTAACACTTTTTCAGTGACTGTCTTCCACTTGACAAAACTGGTCATCCTAGGTCACAGCACTGTCTTCCCTCTTTAACAATTATCACTTCCACATCAGGTTTTCCAGTTTTTACGCAGTCATGCATTTCCTGGGGTATGGGTACTGCACTAATGTATTGACATTATTACATTTGTTCTTGTATTTCTGTATCTGCATGTTCCCCCTCTCACATTATGCCTTATTCACAAAAAGTGAGCCAAATCCATGCAGGTCATACAGTTTCCCTGGCTTAATATTTAGTAATTTTGATTTTTAAGGTGCCTCCATCTGTGATAATTTTCAGTTTGCCTAATCTCAGCTCTATCGTGTTGCTTGCCTTAGCATTCACTTGTTTTGTAGTGCAGTAGTTACATTTGTTTCCATCTTTTATACTCTAGCTTATTCAAATATAATAAATTGCTCATATTTGCTGGTAATGGAATGGTCTTCTACCCTTTCACTATCATTTTGCTATCAGCCTGTTTCTGAAGGTGGACATGAGCAGCAATCTTAATTTGTATTAATGTGCCACAGGGTACAGCTTTTAATAAATTTGTTATACATGTCCATATCAGTTTATATATAGTGAATATCCACTGACTATGACCCTCTGTAATTATTTTATCAATGGCAAAACAGAACTTCTTTACATATTGTACAGTACATCTTATGTGATACCTTTTAAGTTTAAAAGAATTTTGGTGAATTTGCAACAATTCGGCATGAGTGGCTACTTCTTGGAACTCAAAGTCTGTACATAAGGTGAATGGTTTAAACTCCCACATTCACTATTTGTAATTTCCTTTTTGTAACTACAGCAACATAGCAATACTCATGGTGACCAGTCTTCAGCAGTTATCAATTAATTCTTCACACTTTTTTATACATCACTCCTTGGTGCCTGATACTTAGGCTGTCAAATGTGTTCCTTTTATTTCCATTAAAACTTCAATTATTTGTTACACTGACCACTACAGTATAGGTACTCATTGGACCTGGTTTTCTTTTATTTTTATACCGACACAAAAGCACAGAGTTCTGTGTGTTTAAATTTTTTCATTTTCTTATTCAGAAAATAGCATTCTGACTCAGGCTTTGTAAAAGTGAATATAGTGCACTGTTGGTCCTCTGGCTGGGGCTTGGTGACTCTGGCTGACTGAGACATAGATGATTACTGTCAGAAAAATAGTCCCGTTGATCCTATGGTTGCAATATCTATTGTCTTATTATGCAGAGCGGTGTAGCAAATGACTGTTGACCAAGTTGCATCACTGGTGTCTTCATTCCAATGTTAATGATGCTCTTCTCATAACCATCAACATTTTTATGCCCCCCCCCCCAAAAAAAAAAAAAAATGGAGGCATGTTTCCTAGTATAGCCTGGACCCAAGGATTTGAAGATGTGCTGACACTACAAAAGTATTTTCAAAATTTTACTAATGGTACACTGGTGACTGCTGCACTTTGAGAGATTTGTGCTACCAGTCACGAGTTCACAGATTTTTCATCACTGACATAAATATCCAAACATATTAAGCTGTTTAACTACAGCTCATACAGGTTAATAAATAATTTATATTATTTTGGTATATTTGTATTAAGGATAAATTTTACAAATTATAATGACAGTACTGTATGCCTTATAATACACATTCTGATGGAACAACTATATAGCTATTAAATAAAGATATGCAGCTTATTATTAGCTTATATTACTTTTTAAAGTAATTAATGAAGATCCATGCTGTAGAAATTACTTAAGCACACAGTAAATAAGTTTATGCTAGACCTTAATTGTTGTACCTCTAACTCCAAAGTATCTTAATAACAAGACTCATCCTTTGTTGTTCATGTTCTCATATAATTAGTCATACAGTGGCTGAAATGCAGGAGTAAGAGTACATGAAATCTGTTACTGTAGCTGACATCACTCAATGACAAATTACATTGTAATTTGAATGCATGAAAAACTTCTGTATTCAAGCATTATATTTATGCAATTTATTTTAATCAGGGGGGGGGGGGTAGCATTAAACTCGTAGGGCCCATATAGTGCCTGGAAAATGGGATTTCCTTAGGTTCAATTCAATGAAGCATATGTTAAGTCCAGTGCCTTATATCAAGAGGTTATATTTACGTGATAAAACTTCAAAATCTCTATTTTTCAGAATTACTTATAACTGTCAGTTTCTGTAATTTCAAATACAGCTGTAAACTTGTACTCTTACATGGCACAAAATATTTTAGCCACTCAAATTCACAATTAACTAAAAATTTAATTCAAATCATTAACAAAATATCTAGTATTAGAAAAACTAAATGCAATATGCAATTATGGCAAATGGTGTGAGGACCAATAACACAAGTCAACAGTTAGTGTATATTATATAAATATCAAAATTACATTACTATAACCACAAGAAAATTCAAATACAGAGGTGTACTGTATATACATACAATATATATAATGTAACCACAAGTTAAAGAGTAACTGAAAGAACAGCCCAAAAGAAATGGATTTTGTATAGAGATGATAATACAAGTTAAACCTAAGTAATGCACAAACGTTTCAAGAAATTATACTTGCACAAATTAGAAATTAAGCAAAATTACAGCAACCTAACTGCAAAGATATACAAACTGTAAAACCACCAGTAAATACAACTTACCTTTGTGCAAAATGTATTACAGGTAAAGGTCTCAGTGAATTGTACTGTACTGGGCAATATCAGATACTGTACTGTGACTAATACTACTTTACTACCAAGTAGACAACTACATAAATGTGTGTTACCAATTCGTATTATTACACAACCATAACTAGTGTACAATATGCAAAATACTCCTCAAAACACTTATCACTACCATTTAACTTCCAAAACTGGCCAGTTTATCTCACAGCATGTTTAAAATAAAATCTCTTTTCACTGCATTCAGTTACACACAAGATTAATGAAAACTAAAAATGTGCATTAAGAAAAACTTTACTGCAGGAATCTTAAAGAAATTTATTTTCTTGTCTTCATCATTCTTCCATACTCTGCTAGTGGAAATGAATCTGATGAGCATCAGGTCGTTCACTATCCTGCAGCTGTTAACAGATTCCATGGTTGTCATTCTTGAGATAATCTGCAACTTCAACACACATTTAATTATCTTGATAAAGATGCTGGAATTAGGTCACTGGATTTGGGCACACTTCTGTTTATGCCACATTATATCTGGAGACTGAGTTTACCATATTTTTCTGTAGAATATATCCTTAGCTGTAATAAATACTCAAATTGTCTTCAGGCATTTATTTTGTTACAGAAATCACATGGACAGATATTTCTGAAATTTTAAATTAGCCATGTAAGCATTTACATTTAAACTCTCTTAATGAGAAAACACTAACACTTCCAAACCTGAGTGACAGTCAAATGTCAATACTGTATAGAGTTGGTATTATTTCTATACCAGCAATGCTCACTGATGGCTACATTTTCTTTAAATTTTGGTTAATAAATGCCATCTTTTATTATAGTAGAGTATTTCTAAATACAGTAGTACTCATCTTCATATATTTTACCAGTTTTCCAAATACTTCTATTTCAGTCACTAAATTATATGTTCTTGGTAATTTACATTGTAGAACAAGATCTTTCTAAAATTTTCATTTCACACCACTTATGCATATGAACATGTATGCTGTGCAAACTGATTGTGCTTACATGCATAGGTACAAGTGCAACATGGTTCTTGTGTACATGAGTATATTCATATGATACATACGTGTGCAACTTTTTGCATGTGCTTATGTATTTGTGATTACACACCTTTGTAGTTACAGAAGTAAGAAATTATTATGTCCCAACTTCATCATTATAATTATTTGAATTTTAACTTTTTTCAGATGCAATCCACAACAATCTGCCTGTACTAGCACCCAAGTACAGTACCTATTTACTGCTAGGGAAAAGAAGGGAAGCAAGTGTAGAATCTCACCCACATGTCTCAGTGTTCTTTAACATGTGCTTGCATGAATGTATCCACATGTATGTATTCTACAAATAATTTTATCAACTTTTCCAAGAAAACCTAAACACTCTCACATTTGTTATAGGACTTATTTTTCAATAGATTATCACAACTTTTCCTGTGGTCTACTTTTCTATTGTTTCATAAACAACATTCCCAAAACATGAATTTTTATTGTTTAAACTTCCATGAACAAATTATGTTGGTCTGTCCAGTGACAAAAAATTACATTTAAGAAGCACATGATCTATGACATGAAATTTTAGGCTATTGGTAATTGCTTTACTAATAGTTTTAACATAATTTTTACTGTTTTCTTGTAATTTCCAGCTATCACTTGTTCAATATCTATAAGAACCACTAACAATTATTAATATTTGCTGCTGTTTTCTGTTTGGTAAAACTTAGCATAAGCATCACTTACTTGTACTATAGTTCAATTTGTCAATATCTGTTCTGTTTCCTGAAGGGGCGCTTCAGTGGAGGACGCCTATCTTTGTGTCCAACAGGAGAGGAAGAGCGTCTACGCTTTAGAGAATGTGGAGATAAAACCCCTGTTCCACCGGGAAGATTAAAGTTAGCACCATTATCCCCAAACTGCTTATCCTTTCTACTCTGATTTTCATCTTTTATTGATGACTTATTTTTCTGTAGTTTCCACAGCATAAACTCTGTTTCAATGCTTTCTTCTTCCAACTGCTTCAGTTTTTGTTCAACCTTTTGTTCTCGAAGACGTAAAAGATGAACTCTTAAATCTTCATCATCTTCCTCTTTGGTTTTTGGTTTCCAATCAGTTTCTGGAGTGCCTTCAGTGTTTCTTTTAGAGTCTGTCATTGATCTACCAGTTCCTGAATCTTTGTCATCATCATAATGCTGTACCTTTTGTGAAGCCTTCTGACTTCCATTCTGAGAATCAAGCAAGCTATTTCTTTCATTGGTCCACCCCCTTCTGGTATTATTACTTTTCACACTGTCTCTACTTTTGTGGCTTATTTCAAGCTCATCCCACTTTTTTATGTTTACTGTATCAAGATCATCTGACTGTTGAACTTCTGAGCCTTTCCTTTGTTTTTCCGGAATTCTCTTTACACCCTTGTTCGGGCTGATGCTCTCTTCTAGTTGTGTTGGATACAATTTTGACCTTGAATGAATTTCAGGAGAGACAGGGGAGCAGCCTCGTTGTAAAGGAGAACGTTGTGATTTGCCATTCTGAGAGCGATGCGAAATCCTTGGTGACACACTGTGAAACTTACTTTCAGAGAAGGGTTTCTCATCAATTGAATAACCGAGCACAGACTGGGGTGATACCGGTGAGCATCCTCTGTGAAGACTTCCTGCAGACAATGATCTCCTCAATTGAGACCTTAAGTCTTTTGTTCCAGGAGACCAAAATTTACTTGATTTTGGTGACAATGAAACTTCTTCTAAGAGAGGTGATCTCTCACTCCTCTCTGCTCCAAAGCGTTTTGCAGATTCAAAAGATGGTGATCTTTCCCTTGGACATGGTCCTGGAGATCTTGCAATTGGAGGTGTTCCCCTGGATCTTTCCTTTACATGTTGTCCTGGAGATCTTGCAATTGGAGGTGTTCCCCTAGATCTTTCCCTTACATGATGTCCTGGATATCTCCATGTAGAGGTGCCTGGAGACCTTCCTCTTTGAGACAGACCTGGTGAACATCCTGTAGAGACAGGTCTATGAATCCTCTCAGAAGTACAAAGCTCTGTAGACCTGCCTCCAGATGCTGGTCTTGGAGATCTTCCCCTAACTGAGTGTTTTGGAGATCTTCCTCTATTTGAAAGCCCTGAAGCACTGCCTCTAACAGATGGCTCAAGGGATCTCCTCCTAGTTGATGGTTCTGGAGATCTCCCTCTTGTGTGTGATCCTGGAGACCTTCCTTTTGTATGTGGTACTGGAGATCTTCCTCTTGTATGTGGCCCTGGAGATCTTCCTCTTGTATGTGGCCCTGGAGATCTTCCTCTTGTATGTGGCCCTGGAGAGCTTCCTCTTGTATGTGGCCCTGGAGATCTTGCTGAAAAACCTGGAGATCTTACTTTTGCTTGGTGACTTGGGGATCTCCCTCTTGCTGGGAGTCCCGGAGATCTCCCTCTTGCTGGGAGTCCTGGAGATCTCCCTCTTCCTTGGAGACCCGGAGACCTCCCTCTTCCTTGGAGACCCGGAGACCTCCCTCTTCCTTGGAGACCCGGAGACCTCCCTCTTCCTTGGAGACCCGGAGACCTCCCTCTTCCTTGGAGACCCGGAGACCTCCCTCTTCCTTGGAGACCCGGAGACCTCCCTCTTCCTTGGAGACCCGGAGACCTCCCTCTTCCTTGGAGACCCGGAGACCTCCCTCTTCCTTGGAGACCTGGAGACCTCCCCCTTCTTTGGAGACCCGGAGATCTCCCTCTTCCTTGGAGACCTGGAGATCTCCCTCTTCCTTGGAGACTTGGAGATCTCCCTCTTCCTTGAAGGCCCAGAGATCTCCCTCTTCCTTGGAGACCTGGAGATCTCCCTCTTCCTTGGAGACCCGGAGATCTCCCTCTTCCTTGGAGACCCGGAGATCTCCCTCTTCCTTGGAGACCCGGAGATCTCCCTCTTCCTTGGAGACCCGGAGATCTCCCTCTTCCTTGGAGACCTGGAGATCTCCCTCTCACTGGGAGGCCTGGAGATCTCCCTCTTCCTTGGAGACCCGGAGATCTTCCTCTTCCTTGGAGACCCGGAGATCTCCCTCTTCCTTGGAGACCCGGAGATCTCCCTCTTCCTTGGAGACCCGGAGATTCCCTTCCTTGAGACCGAGATCCCTCTTCCTTGGAGACCCGGAGATCTCCCTCTTCCTTGGAGACCCGGAGATCTCCCTCTTCCTTGGAGACCCGGAGATCTCCCTCTTCCTTGGAGACCCGGAGATCTCCCTCTTCCTTGGAGACCCGGAGATCTCCCTCTTCCTTGGAGACCCGGAGATCTCCCTCTTCCTTGGAGACCCAGAGAGTTCCCTCTTCCTTGGAGACCCGGAGAGTTCCCTCTTCCTTGAAGACCCGGAGATCGCCCTCTTGCTTGAAGACCTGGAGATCGCCCTCTTGCCGGGAGACCTGGAGATCGCCCTCTTGCTGAGAGACCCGGAGATCGCCCTCTCACTGGGAGACCTGGAGACCTTCCTCTTGCTGGAAGACCCGGAGACCTCCCTCTTGCTGGAAGACCCGGAGACCTCCCTCTTGCTGGAAGACCTGGAGACCTCCCTCTTGCTGGGAGACCCGGAGACCTCCCTCTTGCTGGGAGACCCGGAGACCTCCCTCTTGCTGGGAGAACCGGAGACCTCCCTCTTGCTGGGAGACCTGGAGATCTTCCTCTTCCTGGGAGACCTGGAGATCTTCCTCTTCCTTGAAGACCCGGAGATCTTCCTCTTCCTTGAAGACCTGGAGATCTCCCTCTTGGTGGGAAACCCGGAGACCTTCCTCTTGCTGGTAGACCTGGAGATCTCCCTTTTGCTGGCATACCTTGAACTCTTCCTCTTGCTGGACCTGGAGATCTTCCTCTTGTTGAAGGACCTGAGGATCTTCCTCGTACAGATGGACCTGGAGATCTTCCTCTTGCTAATATGCCAGGTGATCTTCCTCTTGCTAATGAGCCTGGAGATCTAGCTCGTGATGATGCACCTGGAGATCTTCCTCTCATTTGTGGGCATGGAGACTGTCCTTTCATTTGTGGGCTTGGAGCTCTTCCTCTTGTTGGTGGCCCTGGAGACCATCCCCGAGTGGGACCTGGAGATCTTCCTCGAACCAAAGGTCTAGATGACCTCTCTCTTACTGCCACTTCAGGAGATCTTTCTCTAACTGTCTGTTGTGAACACATATTTTGTGTTTTATTTCTGTGCAAAGAGCCTCTCATCTCTGTGGAATGTGATCTTTGTCTTGAAGACTGACTAGGATCTGCCATTTCAAAAGGAGACTTTGTCAACTTTCCAGAACCAGGAGAATGCTTTCTGGGGAAATGGGGAGATACTTTCCAATCACCTGAATCATAATTTGGAGCAAAATAATTGGTAGTGGACTGTACCTTAAATTCCATGTATTGTTCATCACAAACAGGTGTTTTACTTTGAGGAGGCATTCCATAACCTGTAGGTGTATCCCTAAACTGTTCTGAATAATCTCTACCTTCTTGCATAAATGAAGGAGAAAACTGTGATCTTTTAACTTTCACTGAGCCAGACTGTGAAGAAAAATCCCGTTCGTAGTAATGAGACTGTTCTAATACATCAGAATGCCTTTTTCTGCCAGGGCTTTGATTATTTTGTTTTTCACAATCCCACTTCCATATTGATTCATCCAACCTCTTATCTCCTTGCAATTGCCTTCCACGGAAAATTTGTGGCTTAGAGTACACATGAACATCGCCTCTGATCTCCCCAATATTTTCAGACTTATCATGTGTACCTCCAGCAGAAAGTGATTTGCCTGAAAAATGCCAGTCTACTTGATTATTAATTGTACCTGAAGTACTACTTTGATTGTGACTGTATGTCTCACTTTGTGGAAGAGGATGAGAATAGCTATCTGGTCCATCAAACTGCTGCTGATTAGCTTGTATATCTTTCTCTATCATAAATGCATCTGATGGTAAATTCATCTTCACCCTCCATTCTCTAAGAAAATCAAATGCCTTTGAGCATTTTTTCTGCTGCTGTGGTCCTTTAGCTCCCAAGGCATTTACTTCACCCATACTTTGTGATCCGGTTGTCAGTGTCAAACTAGGTGTAAGTATATGACTTGAACTATGTTTTCTTGTAGCACTTAAGTCCTTTGAAGCATTAAACATGAAATCTACACTCTTTTTTAAAGGATTAAACCCACCTGCTTCATTCAGTGATAAGTCTGGGGCATTGGCTTTTGGTTGTAACAAATACCCACTTCTACCCTGGCCAATGTTATCTTGAGAATTCATTCTTGTGTGAGAATGAGAGTTGGGCCCACTCATTGAAGGACTAAGTCCAGCTAAATGGCTGTGATTGTAGTCATAAATATTTTTATCTTGACCAGACCGTGGTTGTCCCTGCATTCGTGATTCTAGATACATTCTTAAGTCTTCCTGATTTCTTGAATCTGGAGGCACATTCATGTCCCCATGCATTCCTGGTTCTCCATGCATTCTTAACATTGAATAACTTTCGGCACTACTGGGAATCACAGAATTTTCCAGCATTCCTGTATTCCCTTGTAATAATTGCCTCCTAGACTCTCCACCTAACCTATATTCTGAAAACATTCTTGCATCTTCAGGTTTTTTTGAATCCTCTTGCAATCTTGGTCCAGGATATATTCTAGGTTCAGGATGCATTCTAGGTTCTGGATGCATTCTAGATTCATGATGCATCCTAAGTTCAGGATGCATCCTAGGTTCAGGATGCATCCTAGGCTCAGGGTGCATTCTAGGCTCAGGGTTCATTCTAGGCTCAGGGTGCATTCTAGGCTCAGAGTGGACTCTAGGTTCGGAATGCATTCTCACATCTCCTTGCATTTGCAACCCGCCATGCTGTCTCTGGTTTCCTGACATCCGTGAATCATCCGTGAATCTGAAGTTTTCCTGCATTCTAGAATCACCAAACATCCTTGAGCTACCCAACATTCCTGGGGGTCCTTGCATCCCTGAGTCTTCAAATATTCTAGAGTTCCCAAACATCCTCACATCCCTTTGCATTCTAAAATGATGTGCAGTTGATCCAGTCTTCACAAAAGTTAAAGGACTAAGTAAAATTTCTCTTGACTACAATAAAAATTTAAGTCTATCATGCTGATAATTGCAATATAAGGCTGAAAATTATGCTGATGTACTAAGGATTACATTCCACAAATGTGTTATCCAAAAGGGAAATCTTAGTATGCTAGATAGTTTCTTAAAGCCATTCTGCATTCTTCAATGGCAGCAATTTTATCAAGGCTCCATTTAAAACTTCAACAAAATGAGTTGTAGCTTTCTATTTTCCATTCTCATATTTTGGAGAAATCAGCTGCAAAAATTGTCATACAAGTTCATTCTGATAATAGCTCTTGTACATTGCCAAAGGTTCAATGGGTCTAACAAATACCCACTCACTAGATATTGCTGTAGTCCAGTCACAAGTGCTTACTTTGTCTTCATACTTTGCCAAAGATTAGTCCTCTCAAACCTGTGCGACCTGCAAGAAAGTGATGGGCGAGTATGAGGCAAGACATCAAAATCAACCGAACCAAGTACTCTGAGGAACCAAGTACTGTATGAACACCCATCTCCAAACAGTAAATACTTTGTTAAAAAGTTACATACACCAATCACAATTTTGCCATGAAGTGAGCTTATGAAACTGTGTTCCTCTATGAAGAACACTTCAGCAGTGTAAAATATTTTCCTAATAACAGTGCAATCGTATTTTTGCCATTGCAATTACCTATAAAGCTTTCACTCACGAAACTGTTACAATTTATTTTCTTTACACTATATAATTTACTCCTTGTAAACTTATTTTTTTGGGTGGGAGGGGGGTGGGAGGAGAGGGGGCAGGAAAGAGGGTGTAAGAGTTACTGAAATGAAAACTGAATTTATAGCCACAGGTGGAAACGGTCTTATGGTTACACACAAACACGCACTCATGCACACGCACACACACATGTACACATACTAAGCCAAACCTAACGCATTAGCACATAAACCCCCCCACACACATTTTACACAAAGCTGAAGGATGTAGAGCATCCTAACAGGATAAAAAAAAATGGTATCTCAAAAGGGAGGACATAAAGGCAAGGGAACCGAGGATGGCTGGTCTGAAAAGGAATGGGTAGAAAGGCTCAAGAACAAAATGGATCAAGAATTGGAAAAAAGGTCAAATGAGCTTTCTAATAATATGCTAGAGAAGCTATCTGCAAAGAGCAAGAAGTGGAAATCATGAGCTGTAACTGCTGAGGCAAAGATACAGAGACTGGAGGAAGAAATGGATGTGCTGAAAGAGGATATAATGAGGTCCAAAGGGAGCATGGTGACTGAAATGGGAACATCAGCAGGCAGTGATGGGACTGAAGGAGGGGATGGAGCTAAGAAGTCCCTTGCAGAAGTAATATCAGCCTATCAGTGTGTCCAGGAGATAAGGGAAACAACAAAGGAGATGCTTAAATCAGATCCAGAGATATGGAGGGAAAAGAAATGGGAAGGAGAGAGAGAGAGAGAGGTCAATAATTATTCATGGGCTTCAGGAGGCTGAAGGAAAGACTTATGATGAAAGAGAACATTGAGAGAAAAAAGAAATTAAGAGCATCACTGCAATAACATGAGAGAAGGGCATGTCTCGGGTAGAAATTTTTCAGACCTGGGGGGTATTCGAGGGAAAGAAATTGACCAATCAAATTGACATTCAAGACAAGTGGTACGGAACAGGATACTAAAACAGAAGCCACTGTTAAAGGACTCAATAATATCAACAAGTGTACCTCAATCGAGACAGAACACAAAAAGAAAGGGAAAACTGAGAGTGAGAGTAAGACGACACCAGTGGAAGGAGAGAGAGACGAGACAGGCAACAACAGACAGGAAAGCTCAGCCTCCGGGGGAACATCAAACACAAATGATTACAGAAACTCCTCAAACCCTGTCACCCCACATCAACCAAACACAATAACCAGAAACAAACCACACTTCATAGCCCCCCCCCCCCTCCAAGCACTAATCTCACAATCACAGCAGCCTACCATAATATTCCACCTTGCCTCCCACACCCCCAGCACCATCCTCTTCCACCTCCCAAAATATAGTACTGGAAAGGAAGCTAAAGGTATGGTACACAAATGCAGATGGAATAACAAGAGTGAAGAGTGGCAAGAACAAATCATTGATGCCTCCCCTGACATCACAGCAATAACAGAGACAAAACTTACAGGGATGGTAACAGATACAACCTTTCCAACTAGATATCAGATACTGTGGAAACAGAGAGAGAACAGAGGAGGGGGAAGAGTGGCACTGCTCATCAAAAACCACTGAACTTTTGAGAAAATGGGAGGTATGGATAGAGGGGAAACAGACGACTTCATTGTAGGAACACTTCAGACTGGGGGCTCAGAGGTGATGATAGCAGTGATGTATAACCCACCACTGAACAGGAGGAAGCCAAGACAAGAGTATGACGAGCACAATAAAGCAATGATGGATACACTAGCTAAAGTGGCCAGGAGGGTTCATATGGGTAGGACAAAATTACTCATAATGTGGGATTTCAATCATAAAGAGACTGACTGGGAAAACCTAGAGCCACATGGGAGACCAGAAACATGGAGGGCTCAGATGTTGGAGACAGTATTAGAGAACTTCATGCACCAACATGTTAAGGGTACAACCAGAGAGAGAGGAGAGGATGTTGCAGCAAGACTGGATCTCACATTCGCCTTGAAAACTTCAGACATAGGGGATACCTCACATGAAAGACCCCTTGGTGCTAGTGATCATGATGTCCTTCTCGTGCAGCAGCACGAGAAGGACGAGAGAAGTCAAACTTCAAGAAAGGGGACTACATAGGCATGAGAAGATTATTGCATGAAGTGCAGTGGGAAAGGGAACTAGAGGAAAAAACAGTAAATGAAATGATGTAACTAGTAACCACTAAGTGTAGGGAGGCAGAGAAGTTCATATCAAAGGGTAACAGAAAAAGTGGCAAGATCAGAGTGAGTCCATGATTCAACTGGAAATGTAAAGAGGCCAAAGTCAAGTGTGCTAGAGCATGGAAAAAGCATAAAAGGCAAAGGACTCAAGAAAATAAGGAGTTGAGCAGAAGAACCAGAAATGAAAATGCAGGGATAAGGAGAGGGGCCCAGAGGCAATAGGAGAACAACACAGCATCAAAAGCCAAATCTCAACCAAAGTTGTTATACAGTCACATTAGGAGAAAAACATCAGTCAGGGATCAGGTAATCAGGCTGAGGGAGGGAGGAGGGGAGCTCACAAAGAGTGACCAGGAAGTATGTGATGAACTCAACACAAGATTTAGAGAAGTATTCACTATAGACAGAAATGCTTCCAGCAAACCATGGAGGTAAGGTGCACCAGCAGGTGCTGGACACAATACACACAACCAAGGTGGAGGTGAAGAAACTACTAGGTGAACTAGATACCTCAAAGGCAGGGGGCCCAGATAACATATCACCATGGATCCTGAGAGGAGCAGAAGAACTGTGTGTGCCGCTAGCAGCAATCTTCAATAAATCTATCAAAACTGGGCAATTGCCTGAGGTGTGGAAGACAGTGAATGTAGTTCCAATTTTTAAGAAAGGGGACAGGCAGACAGCATTAAACTACAGACCAGTATCACTGACTTGTATAGTATGTAAAGTCAAAAAAAGATGATCAGGAAAAGAGTGGTGGAGCACATTAAAAGGATTGGACTCATACATGACAATCAGCACAGCTTCAGAGATGGGAAATCCTGTGTCACAAATCTACTTGAGTTCTATGATAAGGAGAGAGAGGGATGGGTAGATTCCATCTTTTTGGACTGCAAGAATGTTGTTGACAATACCACACAAGAGACTGGTACAAAAATTAGAGGAGCAGGCAGGAATAGTAGGGAAAGTACTGCAATGGATCAGGGAATACAAGACAGGAAGGAAACAACGATTGTTGGTACGTGATGAAGTGTCAGAGTGGGCGCATGTGTCGAGTAGGATTCCAGTGTTGTTTCTTGTATATGTGAGTGACAAGATGGAAAGAATAGATTCAGAACTGTCACTGTTCACTGATGATGTGAAACTGATGAGGAAATTACAAACAGGTGAGGATCAGCTAAGATTACAAGGGGATCTGGACAGACTACAAGTCTGGTCTCACAAATGGCTCCTGGAGTTTAACCCCAGTAAATGCAAAGTCATGAAGTTTAGGGAAGGACAAAGAAGACTGCAGATGGAGTACAGGCTGCAAACATCACTTAAATAAAAGGATCTTGGGGTAAGCATTATAATGAACATGTTCCCTGAGACACACATCAATCAAATAACTGCTGCAGCATCTAGGCGCTTGGCAAACCTGAGAATAGAATTTTGACATCTGAGTAAAGAATCATTCACAACATTGTACACCGTGTACGCCAGGCCCATACTGGAGTATGCAGCACCAATATGGAACCCACACTTAGTCAAACATGTCAAGAAATTGGAGAAAGTGCAAAAGTTTTCAACAAGATTAGTCCTGGAACTGAAGGGTATGTCTTATGAGAGATTAAGAAAACTCAACCTGATGACACTAGAGGATAGGAGGGACATGATAATGACATATAAAATGCTGAGAGGAATTGACAAAGTGGACAGGGCTCAAATGTGGGATACAGGAACAAGGGGCCACAATTGGAAGATGAAAACCCAGATGAGTCATAGGGATGTTTGGAAGTATTTCTTTAGCCTCAGAATTATCAGGAAGTGGAATAATCTGGAGAGTGAAGCAGTGGAGGCAAATTCCATACATAGCTTTAAGACAAAGTATGATAAAGCTCATGGAGCAGGGAGAGTAACTTATTATCGACCAGTGAAGATGCAGGACCAGGAGCTATGACTCGACCCCTGCAACCATGTATAGGTGAGGATGTGTACACACACACACATGGATTAGGGAATACCTGTCAGAAAGACAACAACGAGTCACGGTATGTGGCGAGGTGTCAGACTGGGTGCCTGTGACAAGCAGGGTTCAACAGGGGTCAGTCCTAGGACCAGTGCCGTTTCTAGTACGTATTTGTGAACAACATGAAGGAAGGAATAGACTCAGAATGTCCCTGTTTGCAAACGATGTGAGGTTGACGAGAAAAATTCAATTGGACGAGGACCAGGCAAAACTACAAAGGGATCTTGACAGGCTTCAGGCCTGGTCCAGCAACTGGCTCCTGGAGTTCAACCCCACCAAGTGCAGAGTCGTGAAGATTGGGGAAGGGCAAAGAGACTGCAGATGGAGTACAGTCTAGGGGGCCAGAGATTACAAACCTCAAAGAAAAGGATCATGGGGTGAGTATAACACCAGGCACATCTCCTGAGGTGTACATCAACCAAATAACTGCTGCAGCATATGGATGCCTAGTAAACCTAAGAACAGTATTCCGACATCTCAATAGGGAATTGTTCAGGACCCTGTACACCGAGTACATTAGGCCTATACTGGAGTATGCAGCAC